CCCAGTTTTTAGACCCAAAATTTTTCGAAAAAGGGTGTGTCTTATACATGGGGAAATATGGTGCCTAAGGACTCACATCTAAGCATAATTACATAGTTCTTTCAATGACAAATGCAAATGACCAGCAGTTTTGGAATTTCTGTAGGTGTATAGTTTTCTTAGTAGTATCTTAGTTTAAATTTTCAGTTCATGTAAAAGTTAAATATAATTTAAAATTATAGAGGACAAACTATTTGAATTCATTAAAGTTTATTTCATAGTAATAGGCCTAGCAAGCAAAATGCAACGCAGAGAAGGAAAATTTCCTGGGTGCAGCATTGAAAGACAACCAACCAAAATAACCCCTGCACCTCTTGTGAGCAAGAATGTGACACTCTATATCTTTATAAGATAAAGCTAGGAGAATTTTAAAAACCATTTCATGTTGTACATTTATTTAGTGAGTTTTAGTTCAGAGTAAATAAGATAATCAAGAAAAAACAAGAAAAAATATAAAGAATCAGTGATATATTACTGCCTTAAAGTTTTTCTTTTTTTACTACTCACATGAGCATCCAGATATGTTTCTGCTATTAAAAATTATTTTGCAGAAACCTCATTTTTAAACCAACAGTATCTCTATTTTAACTTTGTTCCTGATAGAATGTATCTTTTGAAATGCCTCAATATTGACAGAAATAATAATCTGACGTTAAGATTAATATGACAAAAATATGTATAAGGCAACTGATAGCATTATTCACTGTATTAACTCAGTTTTATTCAACTAGGAGATCATGGATCGGATCTACAAAAATGTCATGAATAAAGTGAATGAAATGAGTAGTTTTCAACGTAATCTGTTTATTCTTGCGTATAATTACAAAATGGAACAGATTTCAAAAGGGCGTAGTACTCCACTGTGTGACAGGTAAGTTAAGGCCCTCCCTCTTCTTGATAATTTAGTCATTTTGTTCACATTAATAGCTTCACTAATTGAAAGTTATGAGAAATGAATTTACTTTAAAAAGTCAGAGACTCTTTAGAAATCCACCTTGCATGAGAAAATGAACAATTAAAAATATTGCAGTTATTTGAAAAAAATTTTCACTTAGAGTTTTATTGTATGTAATAGTGTGCTTATAGTTTATGTGGATACATGTGATTTTAATTATTTTGAGAAATAGTTTCTCTTTGCTTTTAAATTTATTTCAATAGAGATGTAAAATGGCAACCAAATATGATTAAATATTTTGCGTTTGAAGTGTTAAATGACCAGTTTTACCACAAACCTGTTAATTTTTTATTTTTATAGTGCTAATAGAGTAACTAGATTTAATTATAGAGTTGTTTAGAAATTAGAAAATGAAAATATGACTTTCAGATTATTTTTATGGGAATGTTAATAGTTTTCAAATGCTTCATGTTATTTAAAACTTTGTAAGTTTTTTCCTGCCTTTTAGTTATCTCTTTAGTGAGACGTATACCCAACTTTCTAAAGCCTTTTAACATTATTATTATTTTTAATTTTATTGGGGGAGGGGAACAGCATTGGGGAATCAGGGAAGGGGAACAGACAAGTTGCTGTCCTTTTGTTCTTCAGTCTGGTTGTGGAGGACGTTACTTCACTGGCCCATGTTGGTATTATCATTGCACTCTTCCCAGGTGAGGCAGTCGCTTGCTGGCCATTGGACGGCCGCTCACAGCAGCTCATGGCAGCTCACAAAAGCTCATGCCTGCTGCCGGCCAGCCCCACTACAGTCTACACTGTCGCCTGAGACTCACAGCAGCCCAGCTCCAGTGAACAACAGCTCCAGGTCGAGCTGTTGTTCACTATCTTAACTGTAGAGGACGCAGCGTCACTGGCCCATGTGGGATCCGAA